AACAGTGAGATGGAGCGCTGTTTTTTTGCGCAGCCATCCCCAAGCTAGAACAGCGAGATGGAGTGCTGTTTTTTTGCGCAGCCATCCCCAAGCTAGAACAGCGAGATGGAGTGCTGTTTTTTTGCGCAGCCATCCCCAAGCTAGAACAGCGAGACGGAGCGCTGTGCAGCGCTCCGTCTTGCTGTTCTGGCTTCGGGGACAGCCTTTGAAGCCTCCGCAGGGCAGTGGGGTGAAGGCACTGTGGAGCCTGTGCGCAGCTAACCCCGAAGCCTTTGGAGCACAGTGCGAGTTCCCGCTGCGCTCCAAAGGCTTCAGGGATAGCCACCCAAAGCCTTTAGAGTGCAGCGGGAACTAGCGCTGTGCTCCAAAGGCTTCGGGTTCCTTTGCTGAAGCCAGGAGAGTCTTGCTGCGCTCCAAAGGCTTCAGGCGGCTATCCCTGAAGTCTGGAGAGTGAGAGGGGTAGGTGCGCACCGACCCCTCTCGCTCTCCAGGCTTCAGCGGAATTAACTCGTAGCCTCCGGAGCACAGAGGGAGCGCTCCCTCTGAGCTTTGGAGGCTTCGCTTTGCTTTCACTGAATCCAAGGAGCCTGCATTCGCTCCATAGGACGCACAAACATTTCCCCTTAATTTTTGGAGGGGAAAAAGTGTGTCCTATAAAGCAAAAAATATGGTATATTATGTTCTAATTTGGAAAACCTTACAGAAAAGCAGTGTCCGCTATGTTAAAGTGAGATAAGACTAAGCTAAGCCAAAGAAAGGAGAGCTACCTGATAAGCATGTTAAGGTCTCTTGCCTTCTTTTTTTTTTCCTGCAGAAGATGTTCCCCGCCCAAGAAATGCCATGGTATGCAATGCTATGGGGGGAAATTGCCGCCCCGGATGCTATGCCAATGAGAAGTCTGTTGGAAAATGCTTTGCAAGTATGTATTGCTGTGTGGGATTCCAGTAGAGAGCCTGCTCAAGAGAGATGCAAGGAGGACCAAGAGCATACGATCGGAACAGAGGAAGAATCCACCTCCCAATCAAGATGGATTAATGCTAAACCTCTCTTTTTTGATTAAAACTGAGTTTGCTTCCAATTCAGTGGCTATCTAGTATTTCATTCTTCCTCAAAGCATTCGATCACTTATAGCTATCACTAGCACCGAACTACCACTGCTGCTGTAACTACTACTAGAAACTCCCTCAGTGCCCCCAATTCTCTGAAACGGTCTCAATTTTCTTGATTTCTTGATTTGAGTCATTCTATTTCTATGCCACTTTTCATTCACAGAAATCACAAAAAACTAAATAATAATAATATTTATTATTTATATACTGTCAATCTGACTGGGTTGCCCCAGCCACTCTGAGCGGCTTCCAAAAAATTGAAACATCAAACATTTAAAACTTCCCTATGCACGGAAATAATATATTGCAAACAATAAATAACAATGGTGCAATGGAACATGACAAATATCACTTAAATCATATAGGACATCAGTAAAACAACAACAGGCTATAAAGCACTATTAGCAAAGCAACTAAAAAAAAAAGCAAAGCAGCACAATTACATCAAAAGTTATATTATGGGATTCACAAAGTATTACAGCATTCATAACCAATAAAGCAATCTTAACGACGAGGAAAAAATAGCAATAAAAAAATAAACTAAGCACTGTTGAATTCATACGCTCTTCTCAACTCTCATGACTCATAATATTCTGCTCATTAAAATACACATCTTTAAAAATGTTTGATTAGGTGTTTCTATACCACTATGTCATAAAATAAAACATGGTAGCACTCAACCCAATGACTTCAAGTTACAAGAAATGAGAACTCGACTAAGCATTATTTTTGAGAGCCAGAGCAGTTCAACAGTGGAACGGTCTCCCTTGGGAGGTACTGGACCCTCCTTCCTTCAAGGTTTTTAAGCAGAGATAGGATGGCCAAACTTTCAATACAGCATTTATTCCTAGGAGATCCTTTCACCAACCTGTTCCTTTGAACAGCATCCTCCTTTTCAATGTGGTGTCCAGAACAAGACACAGTACTCAAGTTGTGTGTAGAGTTTGTGTAGAACAAAATGAATCTATGTAAATCCAGAACAAGTCACAGTGCTCAAGTTGTGTAGAACGGAGTGAAATTATAATCATTCATGACTTGGATGCTGTGTTTCTGTTACTGCAGCCTGAGATTAGACTATTTTAGCCAGCAATCTCTGGCACCTGTTCAGCTAAGACAACTAGAGAATCTCACCTGTGCTGCTGCTACTGCATATTTCCCTGATCATGATCATGCATGTATTTCTTTTTTCTTTTGTATGTTGTAGCAGGAACCCCCACCCCAATCATTCAGTTTGTACAAACTTCACACACACTCACACTCACACACTACATACACCACGCTTCTGTTATAAATTCATAGAAAAATCAACCATACATTGGATTTGCACTGTTCCACTTTTATTTGACTCCATGAAGGAAGGACTACAAAATGGGGAAGGTTTGATACAGGCCAGCCATAATCCCTTCACCATCCCAACACATCCACAGGAGCCCTGCCCAGTTGCTATGCCAACTCTGATGGTCCTAGACAGAAGACCATCAAGATCACAAAGAACTTGCATATGAGAGTGGATTCAGCATGGACTGAAACAAAGGACAATGATCAGATCTTCCCTCTGGGGGCAGGAAACTGCCAACTCCCCTTTGTCTCCTGGAAGTGACTCATGGGGAGGGGGAAAGGAGGAACCAGCCAGGTGACAGGACACTCAGGTTACCACCACAACTCCTCCCTCAGCTCCTCCTTTCTGTAATGTATGCATGATGTTTCTGGGGGTGGGCTTGACCTAGAGCAGTGTTTCCCAACCGGTGTTCCGCGGCACACGAGTGTGCCGTGAGACGTTGCCTCGTGTGCCGCGAGATGCCTGGAGGGAGGCGGGCGAGTCGGGCGGCGAGAGGCGGGGCGGCGGCGGCGAGGAGAGGCCGCGCCTCCTGCTGCTGCCTGGCGCTCCTCCTCGCAGCCGGCAGCGCTGCCTGGGCGCCTCCGCGCGACTCTGCCTCGCTGGGTTTGGTCTCCCAGCAGAGACGGGTCACACGCGCCCCTCCCTCCCTCCCTCAGCCTGCGCGGAGGGAGAGCCAGAGAGAGGCATCGCTCCTGCGCGGCGGGAGAGGGAGCAGCCGGAGCGATGTCCCAAACAAATGCATGGGACCGGAGGGGAAATCCTCTCCGAGGCGGATTGAGCGCAGCTGAGAGAAGCCTTTCGAGGAGCTGCCGTGTCCCCTGGAAACCCCCTACCCAGCTCTGCCTGCCTGCCTGCCGTGGGGCTCGTATCGCCCTTTAAAGGGCGCGGGAAACTAGAAATGTGGGGACTTGGGGTTTTCCTCAGGCTGAATTCCGAGCTGAATTCCGAGCGAGGGACTGAGGGACGGCGGCAACTGAGGCGGCGGCGAGGATCCGCGTCGAGCCGGGGGCGGCTCCGCGGTGGTGGTGCCGAGCGGCGGGGCAGCGCGTGCAAAAGGGAGGAGCGCGAGACAGCGGAGGAGGAGGAGGCCGGCATGTCCGGGCAGCAGCAGCAGCAGCAGCAGCAACTCCCGGCGACGGCTCCTCAAGCCCCGCCGCCGCCCCCTCCTCCGCCCGCTATCGCCGCCACCACCACAACAGCCGCCGCCGCCTCAGTTGCCGCCGTCCCTCAGTCCCTCGCTCTGCTGCCTCCTCCCACCCCCAAAGCTTGGAGGTTCCCCAGCAAGGGGGAGGGAAAAAACTTTCACTTTTGTGCGTCCCTCCCGGCGTGACGCTGCGCGCTGACGTCACGGGGCGGGGCTTTAATGGTGGTGTGCCGCGAGATTTTTTTTCAGTAAACAGGTGTGCCGTTGCCCAAAAACGTTTGGGAAACACTGACCTAGAGGATGGGAATTTCAAAAGTTTTTATAAGGTCTTGCACACCATTTTCTGTGTCTTTCCTCTCTCCTGCAAGTGAGGGGAACACCCTGTTGCAACAGTTCAATAAAGGCCAAGCCTACAGGCTGCTGTTTTGCTCCAGGTTATCCTGGTTGGTGTCTTTGTTTTGTCCAAGGGAGCCCTCGGATTTTTCCGGTAACAATGTAAAACAATCTTTTACATTTCTAGCTTGATTTTGCACTTGTAACAGCTCCTGTTGAAGCACCCAGTGCCAGCCTTTCCCCCCAATCTTTTCCCCAGGGCACAGAACCATCACAACAAATATTGTTTAGCAGATTATGGCAAGGACATGGGAGCCAACTCCTAGGGGCCAACGGGGTTTTTTTTTGGCACCCACAATAAAATATTTGAGGGGGCTCAGTCCACCCAACGTTAAAGGGCATTTATAATCAAATGGGGTGCACATGCTGTGCCATGTGATTGATTATACAGAGCGGGACTTACCTGGGCCCTCACAACGTTTTATTCAAGTTAGAATAAAATTTAGAAAAGGGTGTGTCAGCTGACTGATGGAGAGATGAACAGGCAAATATCTGGAGAGCGAGAGGATTATTAGAAATACAGTGGTACCTCGGGTTAAGAACTTAATTCGTGGCTGGTGAAACCCAGACAGATAGGCAGGGTATGAATAATAACTAAAATAATTATAATTATACAAATCACATTTTCACAGTGTTATAAGGCACCTTCTCTTTATGAATGTTGCTGAGTGCCTTGATTCCACACGTGCTGCAGCTCCTGTTGAATATTGTTTTGCAGATTATCACAAGGATGTGTCAGATGACTGATGGAGAGATTAACAAACATATGGAGAGCAAAGGGGATTTTAGCAACAGTGCAAATAGGAAGATTGCAACACTGAACAGATTGGCCAACAGGTTGGTGGCAACATCAAAGAGAACTTTGTTGCTAAGGATAAAGTAATCTCAAATGCCATGTTCACCCTTATCTCACACCCTTATCTAGAGAGCTACTTCAAAGACAATGAAACCTGTCCCATTAGGGTAGCCTTCTTAGCTTCCCACCTGCATATATAGGCACAAACTCTGTGAAGGCAACACCATTGCTCATTCATCCTTGCAACTCTTTTCAGTGGCACACAACAAATCTTAGAAGAACCATGAAGTTCATCTGTCTTTTCTTTGCTGTGGTCTTCCTTGGTAGAGCCCAGGCTGATGAAGCCGATGTGGATCAAGGGGAAGAGCAAGACTTGAGTGGTCCTCAGGACCAAAACCCAGCTTTGCCAGCTGGTTATGATGAAGCTTTGAAGAATGAAGGTAATTGTAGAATACATAGGAGATTGCAACATATATGGTGGGCAGGACTGCATTTCTTTGGGAGGTCTTCACTCTTACATTGGACTCAATTAGATCATGGCTGGATCATGCACTGATGACAATGTTTTCAATGGTGATCAGAAGGCTGTACATGCTCTTAGGCGTGGTCACCTCACACATTACATAAAGGTAAAGGTAAAGGGGCCCCTGACCATTAGGTCCAGTAGTGACCGACTCTGGGATTGTGGTGCTCATCTTGCTTTATTGGCTGAGGGAGCCGGCATACAGCTTCTGGGTCATGTGGCCAGCATGACTAAGCCGCTTCTGGCGAACCAGAGCAGCACACGGAAACGCTGTTTACCTTCCCGCTGGAGTGGTACCTATTTATCTACTTGCACTTTGATGTGCTTTCGAACTGCTATGTGGGCAGAAACAGGGACCGAGCAACGGGAGCTCACCCTGTCACGGGGATTCAAACTGCCAACCTTCTGATCAGCAAGTCCTAAGCTCTGTGGTTTAACCCACAGTGCCACCCGCATCCCCACACATTACACAGACACCCACAGTATGTTCCTGAAGAAATGCTGAGTTAGACCCAAGTAGTTTACCTCCTTTTCTCCAGTGTTGAAAATTTCCAGCTGGGCCTCCTAGATGGGGACAGCCTGCTCCCAGATTTTGATTTGAGAGAAAGCAAAAAGTCCAAGAAGGAATTTAAGGTTTCAAATAAGAAGCCCAAACAATTAACATGTAAGTAAGTCCTGATTCTGGTTGAGCTGATGGTGGCTTCTCAGCACAAGGAGGAAACAAGGGAACTGCTGAAGGAGCAGGCTGGTTTGCTCCTGAGCCTAGCCTAGTCCAGCCAAGAGATCTCCTGGTCTGCAGCTGCTCAAGTTGCCTTATCTCCTGCTTGGGAAGTGCTAAGCACAGGACTTTCAATGAGCATTCTGAAGCCTTCCTAAATGCCAGGACAAATAGCTGTTGGATGCCTGTGAAGCCTTATGCAAGAGAATTTGACTTGATGCCATTATGGGCCCTGGGGTTGAGTCTTCCTTGCAAACAGAAAGCTCCCTGCTGCATGCATTATGCTGAACATGAATGATGGTAGCAACAGGGCCAGGAAGTGCAGTATGACTTTGTGCTGTGGGTTTAAATGCATGACTCCCACCTTACTTTTGACATGCCTTCCCCTCCACATGCAAGTGATGCAGATAGGCAGCATGCTGCATTGGTCAGTGTGTTGGGTTCAAATCTTCTCTCACCCATGAAGCTCGCTGGCTGACCTTGGGCCAGTCACTCCCCCCCCACCCCACTGTAGCCAAGGTTTGTTGTGAGTATAAAAGTGGGGGAACCATTTATGCTACCTTGAGCTCCTTGGATGAAAATGGGGGACAGAAATGCCATAGTGAATAATGGGGGGGGTGTAAAGGGGCTTTCCACTGTTTGCTTCTCTCTTCCTCCACCTTCCATCCATCCAACCCACCAACCAACCAACCAGGTACCTGCTGGCTATGGAGAAATGAAAACCAGAGAAATCAGAAAGGCAAAGTGTGATGAATGAGTAGATGGCTACTCAATGGGGACTGGTTATTACAGAGTCTGTTTCATGATGACTAGCAATGAGAAAGGGCTCCATTCATCAAAATGTCCCATTCATCCCCAAAACAGATGTTCGCAACCAGTGTTATGCATAAAATAACATTTCATTTCTGCTTTGTGCTATACTTCCGTGTAACATGTTCCATGCAATGGAACTGCTTTTTCCTCTGTACAGGAAACATGCAACGGAGGAATGGTACCGGTCAATGTAAGAGTGGTGGCCATAAATACTTTTTCGGGCATCTGCCCTTGTGGATCTGTGCCCCCTGGAAAATGCAGTTCTTTCGAGAGCTGTTGTAAAGGTGAAGTCTGCGTTCCTCATTAAGACACCTCGTGCTTATTAGTAGATGTTTATTACTGCAAAAATGGGGTAAATAGGTCACCTGCCTGCACACAGAATCATAGAATTGTAAAACTGGAAGGGACCCCAATGGTCCTTTAGTTCAAGTGCTTGCAATGCAGGAATCTCAGCTAAAGCATTCCATTCAGAAGTTAAATGGATGGCAACCAGATATTTTGGGTTGTGCTTCCCAACGGTGAATGGTGCCCATTATGGCTGGTAAGGAGGAAAGCAGAGAGACCTACAGTATCGTACTTTCCTCTAGCTGATGTAGCAGAAAGCACAGATCAGACAAGAACAAGAGGACTTCAAGAACCCTGCCCCAAAGGGGAACTGGAGAGTTCTATAAGAAAATTTCATGTGGTCAGAAGCTGGACCTTTCAAGAGCTCTGTCTTGCTTCATTTCTGCCCCCACTTCCTGGGTATTAGCCTTATACGGGAAGTGTTACCGGTAAGAGAAACACAACAAGTTTTGCCTTGTCTACAAAATTTTGAAAACATGTTCATCTCTGAAGTTTCTTGAAGTGCCTCACTTTGGGGCAATCCTACGAGGTCCCACTTTCATTCTGGGATGGAAGACTGGAGCAAGCGTAACCCAAGGAGTCTGCCCATAAGAACAGCTACACGCATTTTAGGATAGTTCCATAGGAAACAACATGGGAGAAGGGTGTGACAAATTTGCTACCCCTGGAGGGGTGTATGGCATTGTTTTTTCTCGTGTGTGTGTGTGTGTGTGTGTTTGTGTTTGTATGGTTTATAAAGAAAAATGCAAAGATGGTTGTCATTTTTTTTGGTCAAAAATATTACCAGTAATCTAGAGGCAAGAAAGAAAAAAAGTATTGCATAAAATATGGGGGCAACGCATGTCAAATATGCACATATTAATGAAAATGGCATACAATAGGTACCATATTGTGTAAAACTGCTTTGAAAAAAGTCTGTCTTTGCTTGCAAGTATGTGTTTATAAGGAGAAAGTTGATGAATTTTCATGAAGACTTTTTAAAAAATAAAATTTGCAAACTAGTGTAGAAATGTGGTGAATGGAACTTTAATTTTTGCAGGGGGTGGAAAGTGAGGACATGCGTGGAGATGAAATATTTCATGCTTTAATTTGGAAAACGTTTATTTATTACAGAAAAGCAGCGTCTGCTATGTTAAAGTGATCTTAACACTAAGCTAAGCTGAAAAAGGGTGAGATATCTGATAAGCACGTTAAAGTCTCTTGCCTTTTTTCCCCTGTAGAAGTTCCCCTCCCAAGTAATCCCATCGTATGCAATTCTATGGGGGGGAGATGCCGTCACAAGTGTGGTCTCTCTGAGAAGTATGTTGGACGATGCTTTGCAACTATGTCCTGCTGTGTGCGTTTTCAGTAGAGAGCATGCGCGAGAAAGAGGCAAGAAAGACCAACAGCGTATGATCGGAAGAGAGGAAGAAACCGATCGAGATGAATTAATGCTAAATCATTCCTTTTCAATTAAAATTGAGTTTGCATCCAATCATTCTTACTCCAGGGACTCAATTACTCCTAGTTATCACTAGCGCTGAACTACCACTGCTGTTGTAACTACTACTACAAACTCTCCCTGTGCCCCGAGTTATCCGAAAAAGTCTCAATTTTCTTGATTTCTTGATTTGATTTTATTTATTTTATTTCTATGCAACTGTTCATCCACATGAATCTCAAAGCAGCTTTGAAAGAGCAAATAACAATAACAGAACAGAACATCACAAATCATATAGAATGATGAACAAATCAGTAAAACACTATTAACAAAACAACAACAACAAAAAGCAAAGCAGCATAATCACAACAGAAGTCATATTATGGGATTCACGAAGTACTACAGCATTCACAATCTATAAAACAATCTTAACAGCATTAACAAAATAGCAAACAAAAAAATAAACTAAGCCCTGTTGAATTCATACACAAACTCTTCTCAAATCTCATGATTTCAGCTCATTAAAATACACATCGACATCTTGCCCATGGCAGGAACTCCTTTCTGAAGGTTTATTGGGTTGGATGTGGGGCAGCACAGGGGCCTCTCCTCCCTCCCAGTTCTTTCTCTGGAAACAGTTCCCTTATGAAGGCTCCTAGGAGTGGGTGCTGTTGACAGTTCCTGGCTATCTGCCCAGGAAAGCAGAAATGCAGAGAGAAAGAGCTTTTTAGACACAGGGAAAACAATCTTACGATCAAGCCAACATTGCTTGGAATAACGCACCACCGGCTCCCTGGCTGTTACTTCCTAGCAATTAGACCCCTCCTGCTGCTTACGGTGGCTGCTAAGGGCAAACCGTCTTTGGGCTCCTTGTTTTGCGACATGCAGAGCATTCCTAGTTCTTAGGGAAGGACGGGGGCTCTGGCAAACTCTCCAGAGACGGCGAGTCACTTGGCTGCTGCACAGATCGGACTCCTACCTCTGTGCACTGCTCCTGTCCTTCATCACCCATTATTTCCCAACTCCTTCCTCTCTCCTGTCTCAAACCACCAGTCCAAAACATTACTGTCTCCCCCTTTGCCCTCACTGTAATGCTTCTGCGGTCTCCGCCTCTTCTCACCAGCAGTCCAGTCCCTGACAGGTGGAGGATGAGGCAAGGCAGGTGGAAACAGATATTGCCTGACAAACAGCACCAAGTCCCCCCCCTCACAGTACTTGCTCTTGTTATTATCCCAAGGAAAAGGGGCACCCCAAATTCTCTTCTAGGGGTGTTTTATTTTGGGGTGGGGAGGAGTAGCATCTTTTCAATTTTTAAAAAAGTATTTCTGTACCACTGTACCATAAAATACAGGGTAGGACTCAACCCAATGCCTTCAAAAGGAGATTCTCACTGAACATCAGTAAGAGCTGTCTGACAGTGGAACGGTCTCTCTCAGGAGGTAATGGACTCTCCTTCCTTGGAGGTTTTCATGCAGTGGTTGGATGGCCATCAGTCATGTATGCTTTCGCACTGAAGCTACAGGGAACCAGGCAGAGGGCCTTCTCAGTAGTGGCACCCGCCCTACGGAACGCCCTCCCACCAGATGTCAAAGAGAAGAGAACAACAACTACAGTCATACCTCGTGTTGCGTTTGCTTCAGGTTGAGCATTTTCAGGTTGTGTCCCACGGTGACCCGGAAGTACTGGAAAGGGTTACTTCTGGGTTTCACCGCTCGTGCATACACATGCACAGATGTTCAAAATGACATCACGCATATGCGCAGAAGCAGCGAATCGTGACCCGCAGACGCACAGACGTTTGTTGCATTCTGCTCATGTTGCGAATGGGGCTCCGGAACCAGTGGCGTAGCGTGGGTTGTCAGCACCCGGGGCAAGGCAAGTAATTTGCGCCCCCTAACCCGTGGATTTGCGCCCCCTAACCCTAACCCCCAGATGTTGCGCCCGGCCCCCCCTGCACCCCCCACGCTACGCCACTGGAGGGACTCCCAAGAAGGTGAAGCGGGACTTCACCCCAGGGTATCTCGGAAGCCCTCGAGGCAGCGACGCTTCCACCCCCTGGAAACAGCAGGAAGGGAGAGCGCTCTTGTGCCCCGGTCCTGCTTTGAGTGCTTCTCATTGACGCGTCTGCTTGGCCACTCACTCTACATGGGCCCTTGTGGCCTTGATCCAGTAGCCGGGTCCTTCTTTGGAAAGAGCGAGCGCCTCCCTCCGCCCCCGCCACACGGAGCTCAGCCTGCACGTGGGCATGGCGCGCTGCTCTCTCCAGCTTCCTCCCGGCCGGGCCAGCGGCTCCACCTCTTTTCCTTTGCCTTTGAGCCGCTTAATTCCCAGCAAGCAATTAGCAGGCTCGCTCCACCTCCTCCTCCTCCCGGCTTTGCTGCTGCTGCTGCGAGGCTCTTTTCCTCCACCGACGGCGCGCTGCGCCTTGGAGAGGTTCCCGCTTCCTCGAGGGGGGCCGGCCAAACGCGCCCCCAAAAATGTTGCGCCCGGTGCGGCCGGCACCCCTGGCACCCCCACGCTACGCCACTGTCCGGAACGGATCCCATTCACAACCAGAGGTACCACTGTACCAGACTTTTAGAAGACATCTGAAGGCAGCCCTGTTTAGGAAAGCTTTTAATGTCTGATGCATTACTGTATTTTAATATTTTGTTGGAAGCCGTCCAGAGTGGCTGGGGAAGCCCAGCCACATGGTTGGGGTATAAATAATAAATTATTATTATTATTTCAATAGCTTAGACATAAATTGCCTTGAGACGGTGGTTTAGAAGGCAATTAGTAAGTCTAATATTAGTATGCTAGAATAAATCCCACTAGGGATTGCTCCCTGATAAATGGGTACAGGATTGAATGGCAGCCCTAAAAACCTACATTGCAAGCTGGATCTCTTGTATCTTTCTGGAAGAAAGGCTCGCGGCATTCAGCAGTGATTATTCCTGCCGGGTGCTGCAGTAAGAGTGTAGGTAAGAGTGTAACCCATGTTGTTACCTTCATCAAGAGGGGTCTCTCTAATTTGCTTGCTCAAGCACACAAAGTGGGGGGAACTGAACGCCCTGGCCAGAGATGGAAAACACACACTCTTTCATTGTGTGCTGGAGTTTGCACTCCTCTTTAGCAGCTGCTGGGGCGATGGTGCGAGTAGAGTCCTCCGCTTAACTTGTGTCCGAGGGCAAGCGCCTCGGATGGGCGTCAGGGTGTGTGTGCAAAACGGAGCCACAACCTCCAGGGCGCGCGTTTTCCCTTGGGGAGCCTCCGCTGTGGGCGGGGAGGGCGCAGCGCTATGCACCCGCTCAGAAGCACGGTGCTACGTCGGTGGGCCACTGAGAGTTCCGAGCAGCCGCCTTCCGCCTCCTCCTGCTGCTAGGCTCGTTCCTGCTCCTACTTGCGTGGGGATCTCTCAGCTGGGAAGCACGAAACCTCCACTTTTGAGAGATCCCTGCCCTGCTCCCGCTTGCATGCAAGTAGGAGCGGGATTGGGCAGCTCAGCTGAGGAGCGCCTGGCTGCCTTCAGGTGCTACAGGGACTCTCGGATGCAGCTTTGGGCTGCATCTACCTCTCCCAACCTCAGCAACTATTCAGCCTGGCTGCCTTCATGGGGTTGCAGGGGATCTGATGTGGAGGTGGGGGCTCCTTTAAACTGCTCCCTTGAGATGAGTGCAGCCACGAACCCCTCAATGGAAAGTGTGGCGGAGCCTGCACCTCCCCAGCTGAGCAGCCCCTATCCAGCTCCTGTTCCCGTGCAAGCAGCAACGCTGCCTAGCAGAGCATCCCGATCCCACTCCTACTTGCCTGCAAGCAGGAGCAGGCTGGCAGGAGGGTGGCAGCGACATCCCTTGCCTGCTCACTTGTTGCCCCAGCCTAGACTTCCCTCACTGGAGGTGAAGGAAGGGGTGGTTGATGTTGCGACTGCAGCGGCAAAGGGACCCAGTGCTGGAGGGCGGCAGGTGCCTGCTGGCTTGCTGCCAGTCCGCCTTCCGTCACTCTGAAAATGGAAGTGTGGCAATCAAAACGAAAGTTATACTAAGAACAGAGCATGTTCTGCTTCCAAAAAAAGTTCGAAAACCACAACACTCATTTCAGGGTTTGAAGTGTTCAGGTTCCAAGTACATTGGTACCTCGGGTTAAGAACTTAATTCGTTCCGGAGGTCCGTTCTTAACCTGAAACTGTTCTTAACCTGAAGCACCACTTTAGCTAATGGGGCCTCCTGCTGCCACCGGGCCGCTGGAGCACGATTTCAGTTCTCATCCTGAAGCAAAGTTCTTAACCTGAGGTACTATTTCTGGGTTAGCGGAGTCTGTAACCTGAAGCGTATGTAACCTGAAGCGTATGTAACACGAGGTACCACTGTAGTTAGAGAATAAAGCTGTTCAAAAACCGAGGTACCACTGTATTGCTCCACTCTCTCTCTCCACATGGATGCGCCAACCGCCCCTTCTAAACTAAAACCTTGGTATTCGGGTTAAATTGCTGTGTTGACACTTTGCAATAAATAAGTGGATTTTGGGTTGCAGTTTGGGCACTCGGTCTCTAAAAGGTTTGCCATCACTGACCTAGGGAGTCCTAGGGAGTTGGACTAGATGACCCCAGGATCCCTTCCTCCTCTACAATTCTATGATTCTAAGTTTCTTTCCAAAGAACTTTGAATTCCCCATTTTTACTCCCTCCCTCCCCCATATGCAGTATAGGCTTTTTGAACTGCCTGTTTCAGGGAGCTGAGCACTAATTTTGTGGGGAGCCAGGAACCAGCCCAGAGATTATGATGTTTTACCAACATCATACTGCTGGGATTTCTTGTTTTGGAGTGGTGTTTTGATTGGTTAGTTGGCTTTTAGTCTGGCCAGAAGCATGCATAACTAGATCTCTTAGAGTAATGAGTTGTTTATTATGAAGGAATAAGAAAGCACAATGTTTGTGTTGATTGTTTATTTGTAGTAGTAACAGCTGAAAGGAAGAGATTATTGACTTAGCAAGGATAGACTCGCACCATGCCAGATTCCTTGAAGCCCAAATTAACAGAGATGATTACTTGATATTAAATTTCTTCCACCGATGATCAAACAGTGGTCCAGCTTTGAAATCCCTCCCAGTTACTTCATTTTGCTAAAGAAAAGAGGAAGAAGAGGTGGTTTAGTCATGATCACACATATTGAGAATACAGTCATACCTCTACTTATGTATCCCTCTGGATACGGAATATTTGGGTTACGGCCACGGCCTGTATACTTCCGGGTTCTGTAGCACATGCATGAGCAGCAGCATGCCTCTATATACATAATTTTTGGGGTGTGAATGGACCCCCAGAACGAATTAAGTCTGTATCCGGAGGGTCCACTGTATATAGTGTTACATATATGTGCTGGATCAGTTCCAACAGTCATGCTCATGGCAGGCCCATTGAAATCAATGGGACTACACTGAATAACATCGGATATCATCCTGTAATTAAATAGCTGCCCTTCACCCGGTGGTCAAAGGGTGAATTACAGCAACTAACACTCAGAGCTCATCCACACTTGCACTTGTCCCATGCCTAGGAAGAGTGGGTCTGAGAGGTTTTCTGCTAAACGTGAGATGTCTTAATGAGGAAC